CGAAATATTCTCCGTCAATTGTGACTGGATTGGTGCATGCTGTATTGTATCGGAGAGTCTTTCTTTTGTCTTAATATTTCATCAACACAACTAAAACAACCAACGGAATGGTTTGTTGGCTGATAGTATTCAAAACAATAATGAAAACACAATGGAATTGAATGATTGTTTAATTCTACCAGATAACATTTCTAGCATTAAGTAATCAGTACTAAATTACGGTCAAACCCAGGAGTTCCAAGTTTTGATACATTTGGTGCATCAGATCCTTGACTGTTTCTACCTGGTTTTCAGCAACCCTTCAGTTGAAGTTCAACTGTGGTGGAATTTTTCATTATATAAGTGAAAAATATTTTACAAGACCATTAGATGCATTCCAAGTAAGGATCGGAGTCAGAAAAGACTGTCTACTCTCTCCCTTCCTCTTTCTTCTGGTGACCAACTGGATTACAAAGCCCTCGACATCTGAGGGAAAACATGGAATAAAATGGATAGCTCAGAACCAATTAGACGATATCGATTTCCCAAATGACCTAGACCTCCTATCGCACACACGAACGAATGAACATAAAGACAGCGAGTGTAGCAGCAGTCTCTGCACCAGTAGGCCTCGACATACAGAAGGGTAAAATCAAGGTCCTCAAATAAAACACGGAGAACAGCAATCCAACCGCACTTGATGGTGAGACTCTGGAAGATGTGGAATCCTTCACATACCTGAGAAGCATCATCGATGGACAAGGAGGTTCAGATGCAGACTTAAAGGCGAGAATTGACAAACCAAGGGCCACATTCCTACAATTGAAGAACATATGGAACTAAAAACAACTGTCAACAAATATCAAAGTCACAATCCTCACTACCAACGTCAAGACAGTTAGTTCTACTGTACGGAGATGAAACTTGCAGAACTACTACAACCATCATCAACAAGGTACAAGTATTTATAAATAGTTGTCTACGCAAGATACTCAACATCCATTGGCCGGAAACCATCTGTAACAGCCAACTGTGGGAGCGAACAAACCAGTTTCCAGCTGAAGAGGAAGTTAGGAAAAGACGATGGAAATGGATAGGACATACATTACACAAATCATCAAACTGCATCACGAGGCAATCCTGACCTAGAATCCTGAAGGGAAACGGAAAATAGGAAGGCCAAAGAACACATTACGTCGGGAAATAGAATCAGATTTGAAAAGGATGAATAACAACTAGAAAAAGCTAGAAAGGACTGCCTAGAACAGGGTTGGATGGAGAATGCTGTTGAGCAGCCTATATTTTTTCACGAGGAGTAACAGCAGTAAGTAATTAGATAACAGCAATAACTTGTTAAAGGTGCAAAATACATAGTGTGATAATACTTTACTAAAATTAGAGTTAATAATTTAAGGGCACATTCACAATTGATTGTGTACATTCGATTTCATTTTCTTCATTTATTTTGGGAGTGGTGTAGAAATCAGTTTTTTTCAGTTATTCATTTGACAATGTTTTCTGAAGTATGTACCTGTACAAAAATAAGAACTTAATATTTTCTTTTCAGTAAAATAAGTTATGTTTTGAATTTATGTTTTCTTCACCAAAGTCATCTGTCATTTTTTTCACGTTTAAACGAGTTTATGTTGTTTTTTTTCCATTTATATCTCTCTTACTATCGTACTTCTGACTGTACTCCCGAAGGACTTGTAACTGCACTTATAAATAATAATTGCAACCTTAATTGAGTTATCATTTGGTGTCTTCAATAAATATCTCGTCGAAATTTAACATTGGAACACTTGGAATTAAAATTAATGGTAAATGTTGCGTATGCTTATTAGTTTAGGAAAGTGAAGCAAGAAGTATTTGAACATTTTACCAATTATTATTAAATCTAAAAGAATAAGATATGTAGTTTTGTCCTCATATAGTATGTACTAAAAGAAATGTGACAACTCGATGTGTAGTCAGAAGAAAGCTAGATAATTGCTATAAGTCTTAGTTCCCATGACAGTACATTATACTATTGTAATGGGCGAAAACACAAGTGAGGCAGTCTAATGAATTTGAACGCAAAATTACAGAATCTCTTAGTAAAATTTGAGAATCATACAGTAAATACTCAGTTAGCAAAACATCAATCATTTGTCTCAAACTTGACTGTTCCTTTTACAAATACCAGTCAATCGTCTCAAATTTCATTGTGCCTGCATTTTCATACCAATTATTTACCGTTTCCGTTCTTTCCTACTCTTTCTTCTACTGAAATACATTCTGTTCCTGACTATTGTTATATACTACTTATGTGGATATAAGTAGCTCACATCACACTCGTCCACTTTTTAAGGCAGTCGTTCCTGCGGTGGTTCTGCTCGTCGTGCCACTTTCCCCTTTTCTGAAGTCTGTGCCACGCTCTCCGTCAAAATGTCGAGTCTGTGGTGCGCTGACATCTATAGCTCCACAAACCTGCCGGTGCAGCAACATCCGATATCCACCCGGCACCTGGGACGCTCTCCAGAAACCTGAGCCGCACGTCCCATCGCTCCTCTCCATTGACATCACCCGCTACACTATTATTTTGTACGAATTGTCCCTTCATCCGATAATGATTATGTCGAACAGAATTAAACGCATGTTTCAGTCAAATTCACTGAATGGCTGTAAAATCCTTCCAGCATGCTGTTGAATATACTATTGTTTAAATATCAGACAACCATCTCCTAATAATCAATTTTCTATTACTCATTTTCATTAGCAAGAATAATAACAGTAGAAATGATCATCATTTGACAATATTCAATGGATAAATAAACAAAATCGAGCATAAAATGAGTAACTATCCAAATAAGAAGTTTGCATAGAAACTATGAAATGTTTGTATTTTATTCAATAGCTTTATCATGTCATCATGTTATAAACAGACATTATTGTAATAAAAAACCATAACGCTTACTTAAAATGCAATAATTTTAACGATGTGAACTAAGTGATGTTTTTCGGACTATAGATTTTTAAAAAAATGATTTTAACTAAAAAGAGGTTCACCCTACATTCCAACTGTATACAAAAGTCAAATCGGAAACGTTTGACGATAATCTCAACAACAGGCATAGCAAATATGATGTTTATTCATCGCTTCAAAAATTTTAATCTCACTAATTTCATGATCGGCGTTCATGAGGTTTCTGGGTCGCTCATTTCTATAAATTCAGTTAAGTAATCATTTAAAAGCAAGACTACAGATAACAATTTTATGAGGAAAGTCTTCCTGTTTGATCTAAACCAAACTTAATGGTTTGAAATTGAAATGTTTCTAGATATTACGATTTAACAGTATAAACTAAAAGCATTGGAAACGTATTTTCTGGGAGCTTTCGAAAATAAAGGTCCCAATTTTATCTAACTAAACATGAATCGTTGGTCATATCCATCGAATATTTTATTCATAAATGAGTCTAGTGGAATATTAAATTATGATGAATTATCAAGCTTCTAAAAAGTCTATAAAATTTACAAGTATGTTTCAGAAATCTCTTTTAGGGGGTTCATCTCTGTAGAAGAAATCAATATCACTTACATCAACACTACCTTTGATAGCCTTTTCAAACTATACGTTCCGTAATTTCTCACTTTTCTAAATTTACTAAATTCTTGAATACTTAATTACATACGTCAGTATTTTCGTATAACAACCTTTATATTTACTAACATTTTATAGAATTTTTAGCTGATCATCTCTAAGTTTCACTGCCATTCATACTTTTAGGTATATATCCTTCCAGAAAATTTAAAACTGCATTTGATTAGCTAAATTAGTTCCTACAGATACATATATCTTCAAGTTTACAAACCTTCATTAGTCGGTTAGTCTGTAAAATTACTTACGCTCACGAAACCAACGGCAGAATACTTCTTTTTTTTAAAAAAAATTGAAACCTTTAGTATTTTCAAAAATTTTAACGGTGAGACTCTAATTTAGGGACGAACCTTGAACGAATCTTAAATGCCTTGACAATTATTAGCCAATCAGAAGACAGTTAGTATAAGGTAAAAGTATATTATAAAAAAGTAATGAATTACAGTGGATAGTCTTCTTTTACATGATTTAAAAACTTGTTAAGGTTTGATAAAGGTTCAGAAGTCCTGAAATCATAATGCATACGGTATAGAAACTTGTCCATATGGCTCATAACAGTCGTCCTCTAGAGCCGTGGTATGGTCTTAAAAATTCCTACAGTCTGGACCACATAGCTTCAATATTATTAGTATGGACGCCGGTTGTAGGGTCGACGAAATGTTGCTTGTGCACTACTACATGATGCACATATCCAAATCTATGTAGGCACCTATAAGCTCGCCAATCATCCGTATATACTGTTGTGCCCAGCTGCACGTATTCCTGTATAATTGGTATTATTGTGTTTGCTTGCAGGTTTCTGACCCTCTGAAAATGTCCCATTTGTGTTGGTCGGTCATAAATTCCAAGTACCTGTCAAGTATATTTACGGAAATGCTACTTACCCATTCTTCCTTAATACTACGTCCCCTATTGTATTTTCGCTTTCTTACTACCGTTTCATCTATTTCCACAATGCATCCTACTCCTCCGAATGATTGGCGTAGGCGTTTCATTTTACTTGCACATATGTCACGGCAGTACTTGTACCACTGGACTGATGAAGTTTCAGTAGCATCTGCAAACGCCGCAGCCAGTGTCACTGGTGTCTTTATTACCCAATTTGCCACTATTATCATGATCTGCCTTAGTGTCAGTCACGATCGAGCGACGAAAGTCCCCGTTCGAGCAGACTTTTTCCTCCAACATGAAGAACAATGAAACATAATCTCACCACAGTGATCTGTACACTTTGTTGGAGTTATTTGATAACCGCAGTCGCACGTACAAGAACTTCTTAATAAATCCATCTGTTGTAGCCTCTCAATAATTACCTCTTCTCTAAAATCCGCCGTAAACCGATCGTATGTTAGCACCACATGTTGAACTTGGCTCGGTGACCTTGAAATTGCTCAAACGCTTCTGACTGGCTCGTCCTTAAATAAGAGTCTCGTCCTTTTAACTTATAAATTCTGTTACTAGTAAACCAAATGAAATATACTTACTAACACAGCTACCATCACTCCCACCACCCCGTCTTTCTAACAAACAACTAAAAGAGTCGATCATTATATAATATGTTCTATCTAATAACAATTTATTCCCCCCCCCATTCTTTATCTCTCAAATGAATAACAAAATCACATTTAAAGTTTATATCAAAAATCAAGAATCAAAAATCAAAATGTTTCAGTAGTATTAAATACTTCAATGTAACATGATTTTTCACATTCATAATACGTTTTATCACAAATAGTTTTACAAAAATTCATTTTAAAACATTTATATTCACATGTCATAAATGCATATTGACATAATTGTAAACAATCTATTAAATGTTCACGATTATTCTCTGTAAGAATTATTCCTTCACATAACATAAATATCATTAAATGAATAATTAGTATTAAATAAATACTATGATACATTCTTCAATATGATAATAGTCTTTGAAGGTTAATGGATTTGTTTAAAATTTCTAAAAATATAAACATACAAATGATATGAAATCCAAGAAATATCAAAACAATGTCTTTTTAATTAGATAGTGGAAATTCCCATTTTGACATTTGGTAAATAAAGAAGGAATGAATTGAGTGAAGAAATTACTTTTCAATTAGTTATTCATCATGGCTTTACACTATTATATATATATATATATATATATATATATATATATGACTTACAATAATGAAATAATACTCATCGAGTGGATATGTTACGTATTAATTACATAACGACATTTCAATTATTAAGCAACGTAGCAACTTCTTGGTTTTCCAATAATTACTTTGATTATAAGCAACGATGGATAATGGCTAGCAGTGGAATGCAGGATGCTTGTTTCGTCTTATATGGGACTCGTCAGCTGGATGTACCTGCATCCCACAGTTAATGTTCCCTATGGCGCTCAAACCCAGTACCGTTCTCTTCAAACGCCATCGCATTATCTACTTAGCTACTGAGTTCTGATAGCCACTTACTTGTGCAATGAGGTGAAACAAACGATAGTGGATTCGAGTCTCAGAGTGAACATCAACTCTGAGATGCAGGTTCATCCAGCTGATGAGTCTCAAATAGGGCGAAACGCGCATCCTGGATTCCACTGCTAGCCACTACTCATCTTTGCTTATAATGCTTGTAATGCACATATGCCAATAAGGGACTGATCAATTTCAGTCTTAAACATCAATAGGAAGATTCAAGTAAAACACTACCAGGTGAATTAATTACTTTGGTTATTATTAATCCTCTTTCTTCCAATTACTCAATGTTAATTTATAAATGAAATGTCATTATGCAATTGTTACGTAACATATCCACTCGATGAGTATTATATCATCATTGTAAATCATACATATATAATAGTGTAGAGCCATGATGTAAAACTAATTGAAAAAAAATTTCTTCGCTCAATTCGTTCCTTCGTTATTTTTTTTAAATTATAGTTGTTTTCTTTGATAAACCATGAATCCTACATGAGGATCAGTAACATTACTTGATTGTATAAATAAGATTCAAGCTTGTAACTGAGTGTTTAAAATTTTGATAATTTAACTATTAATTTATAGGTCACTGAAAATCATGTAATTTAAACTATAAGAGAATAAAAAGTTATTGAATATAACCTTTTATAGTTTAGTTATAATCAACTACAATTCGAAAATACCGTTTTCTTTTTTTAAAAAACCCTCCTTACCCATTTAACCTCGGTTTGCAGTGGTGTCACAAAGTGAATAATATTATAAAAAGGTTATTTCACTACATAATCCATAACTATTTCAGGTTTCCTTGTTTCTATTGGTCAATATGATCAATATTCTATCAATTATTCTAACATTTATTAGCTAGTTCCAGAAAGCCAATCTTTAAGAAACAATCCAACACAATGTTGGAACATATATTCTTTAGTTTAGTTATTAACAAAAGCTGATATATATATATATATATATATATATATATATATATATATATATATATATATATATATGATCAAATGATACTACTGCACCGACACTGCATCAGTGGAATTCTTATTTCTCAAATTTTGATTTGTCCACGTATTGAATCAGATTTAAAATAGAAAGAGTTCGTTGAAGAGAGATCATAAATAAAAACACCTAATTTGATATATTTTCTTGCATAGACAAACTGCCAATAGTGTTTCAATTAGTAGAGATTCCTAAAATCGTTAATGAATATAAATATATCAAAACTAAGATTTTTGAACACTCAATAGTTGTATTTAGTTTCTTTTAGTTGAATAACCAGAATGTCGAAATTCAAAACATTAGAAACTGTACATTTTAAGTTTTGTTATTCATAATATTCATTCCCTTAAGTAAGTATGAGTATAAACCATGTTTCTGTGATCGTTTACTCGGTTAATAACTACCACTAAATACAATTGAATGTTATAATCAAATTACTTTTCACTAACTTATGAAGTTTAACCCAGACATAACATTTTGTGTTACTTTCGATTTGTAATATTTAGTAATTATGCAATGTGAAAACAGACTGTTCATCTATGTATACATATACATATATGCCACAAGGTAATACAGTGTGAATAGATACATAGATTATTGATTATATGTGTAGTTTAATTACGTATGGTTTTGAAAAGGTCTTATATTTACTTTCATCATCTGTCATTCAGAAGTTTTCAGACATTAGACGAGTATAATACCGAAACTAATTTTTAAGTGGAATTTTCATATATCCATGTTTAACCTTCTCTATTCATTGTGTATCTTTTTTCAGCAAGTCATTATATCAGGATAACATGCAACAATAAAAATTAAGATTTCAAATATACACTTTTCATAAACATCATCTACAAAATAGACTTTTAGTGTGTTATTATTAATTATGAACTGTTGAAATCATTTCACTAAACATCATGTATATATATATATATATATATATATATATATATATATATTGATTTTCACAAATGAAATAACGATCTTTTATTTCAATATCTTTGAAACAACTAATCACTAAATTCACTTGGTATTGTTTTACTCGTATTTTCCCATTGTTATTTAGGAATGTAATTGATGAGTCTCTTGTTGGCATATGTGCATCCTATGCGGACTACCTCGATATTACCTTGATTCACAAGCTTTATAAGCAAATATAGATAGCGGCTAGCAACGGAATCCAGAACTCGAGTTCCGTCCTATTTGGGACTCGTCAGCTGGGTGTACGTGCATCTCACAGTTGATGTTCACTTTCGGGCTCGAACCCAGTACCGTTCGCTAAAGGACGAGACACGCGTCCTGGATTTCACTGCTAGCCGCTATTCATCTTTGCATATAATGCTTGTAAATTAAAGCAATATCAAGTTAGTCCGCACAGGATGCACATATGCCAACAAGAGACTCATCAATTACATTCCTAAATAACAATGGAAAGATACAAATAAAACAACACCAAGTGGATTTCAACTTCACCCCATTGCTATCAGGACTCAGTAGCTAAGTGGATAACGCGATGGCGTTTGAAGCGAACGATACTGGGTTTGAGTGCCATAGTGAACATCAACTGTGAGATGCAGTTACATCCAGCTGACGAGTCCCAAATAGAACGAACCGTGCGTCCTGCATCCCACTGCTAGCCACTATCCATCTTTGCTCAATAATAATAATAATAATAATAATAATAATAATATGGAAATTGCTGAGGAGAAGTTATTAATGATAAACATTGAAGAAAACTATGCCTTTCATGAAAGCACTTTTCCATGTCAATAAACAGAAATGTTAAAATAACAATTAGTTTAAAGAGAAAAAACAACATCCAACTGTGCAATTAATGAATAATCATTAATAATAAAGAAAATCTTTGACTAACAGTAGTTAAATCAATGAAACTAAATGAAAATTTGATAAGTAAATTAGAAAAAGAATATAACTGGTTGTACAGAATAATAAATAAACTCGTCGTGTTAGATAAACAATTGGATTGATAAGAGAATATACTGACAAGTTACTACGATATAAAATGTATAAAACAACTAAAAATACTATCGCTACTGATTAACGGTGGTAAGTAGTATAGAATTCAAAATATGATTCATAATCTTAATGATTTGAAGATAGTTTCTATCAGTGGCTGATTTTAGCTAGAAAATTATAGGAAGTTAGAAAGCATAAGATAGCTGTTTTGTTCTTATTAGATACTCTATAGGAATGTACACCTACAGTTTTACGTATGATAAATATGAGGAATTTCTACTCCTTGAGGTAATATAGATTTAAACCAATGAGTAAAAATTTAGGTGTTCCTACTTTCAACTTTAGTCAAAGAACTCTTACTGTCATCGAAGATTAAAAGTATCGACTTCTAAGTTTTAAAGCTTTGTTATTTTCCATTAGTCAGTAATGTTGAAATCTAGATTAGTCGATAAGACTATAGTATAAGAAAGAGCCGAAAGCAATAGAGATAAATTCATATCCAGTTCTTAATCGATCGGAAAACAACTTCTGTTAATTTATAGTTTGTGGATAATTGAACAAAAATATTGCATTGGAAAAGACATGTTTTATGTCATCAATAAAGCCAGCAACAGCTCACACAGGTTACTCTACCTATAAGTTGAAAAAAAAAACAATAATATCTAAATCCGTCTATATGTGTGTAGGTTGTCCATCTCAAACCCTTATAAGGACCCAGTTGGATTATTAGTAGTTCCTGCAAACTATTTTATAACCATATGAATATGAATGAATGAAATGTAATTAAAATTCCAAGAGGTACTACCTCACATCTGATTAGTGCGTTCATAAATTTTGTTATTACCGTGTCTAGAGCTAAGAATTGAGGTTATTGTTGACATCCCCGTTATATGCAATATACATACAAAGAGTTAAGAATATGATGCATTCATTGCTATCATTACTACTCTGTGGTATCAAAATACAACCCTTCTTTATCATTTTAAACCTTCCAAGGTATTTCAACTGATGATTTCACGTGATATAACTTAAGTCATTTATTTTTGAGTTTTTTAAATAAAAGATTAAACGTCAATTTCCTAATTGGGATTGATTCATTTCTAGACTATACATTTGCTGAATTAGTCATCTCACTCATTTGATTATGGCAAACATTTATTTATTAAATAGCTTTATTCAATATTGTATTTCTTGGTACAATATAGGCTTCTCAGCACGAAGTATTTCAGCGAGTTTCCGTTTTTTCTTTCTTGGTTGATATTGACGATAAACACTGAGTGATCACCATTTAGATATTAGCATTTCATAAGTCGACATCTCAATAATATTCATTCTTTTCAGTACATATTGCCAACTATCACGATGTCTTCGATTGTACATTTTTGTAACTTGTACAGCGAAAGGTTGTACCCTTTTCACAAACACACCTGAATATGTTATTTAATTAATTGACATAATGATCTGTTAAAACAAACAAGGAAACAGATAACTTGTTGAAATATCTAGATGGAAG